TAGAATAATACAAGCTAAAATATTATCTGAGCTTTTTAAAACCACATTTTCAAGCTAACTCAACCCAGGAGTTTATCCTTCGAAGAAAATGAACGTATTTTATGGAGCTTTCCTCACAAAAAGTGTGTCCTGCTCCCCACTTCGTGAATTTACACTCCCGAATTCTGACTTTCCAGAAATTGAACAATCTTTTTTTTTGAGAAAACATTCATTAACCAGATTATACTTTCAGCAGACAAGTCTTTACCTTGAAGTGCCTTTAAGGTAACAGTTGTTTCACGCAGACACCTGTCCTAATATTGACTGGCACTTCCACCAGACCCAACTTGTGCAATGCAAAAGCGCGATGGGAGCTGACTCATTAATGCTGGTCAGAGTAATTGGTCCCCGCGCACATCCGGAAAGGGCGTTCCGGCCTTACCGGCTGTCAGCATAGAAGCTCTGACAGTTTATTTATGTTGGTAGCCGCTGTGTTGCTGAATGAGAACCGAAACATTCCACTTTTAGCCGTCAGACTGAGTGCTATGAATCTTATGAGCTGGCTGCCTGCACTGGGGCTTGCAGTTTCCGCAGCAGGTTTTCGATCGAACTGAAAAATTTCCTTAGACATATCGTAGTAGACATGCCGATTTGGAAATGATCAAAAGAAATCGCTATTTATAAATTATGAAGCAAGTTTGGACAAGTTTCCACTAAGTACTTCCATTTACCTTCACAGTAATTCATTCGCTAATCTTTAACTGAGCTTTTGCAATGAATGAGTGGTTTTCAGCCATAAACACGTCGGATTTCCTTGTAAATCTACAGAGATTGTGTTCACGCCCCTCAACTGCGTATTGGTCCTCGACAAACCTGCAACTTATCACCTCCGTTATCAGATGATTCATTGCCTTTTCCAACTCATTTAATTTACAAAACATGGCAGCAATTCCTGCTTTGCGGAAGGACCCTTTACTACTTTGTCAGTTCCTACGAGCACACCGGTACCACTGGAACACTTTCAGTATTCAATAGCAAGAAACCTGGATCCCATAACATAAATGTTCAGCCGGGTGTGTTTGGCTAGTTTATCTTACTTTACAAATCAGGATTCAGTGAATTTCACCGGCATGGCTCGCATCTGTCCAGCATTGTGGTCGAGGGTGGTTGGTTTTGCTATTGCTTAACTCATGAGTTCGTCATCACGGATTAAATCATGAATCAAATCCTAGTTCCAAAGCAAATTATTCGTAATAAAAATGAACTAGTTGTTATAAATCAATGAGAAAATGTATGTGGTAACGTATTAGCCCTTAGAAGTTTACGGTGCAATATGGGCGTTAAATCAAGCCCAGCATCAACTCCTCAAAGCTAAGTTATTAGCCTTGGCTCGTAACTGAATCCCCGTATAATTAAAATTTATGCTCTTTATCTCAAAGGTTTTAATTATTTGCTAAAACCTATCCTCTTTTTAACATTCCCACCAGGGGTTGAGGGTTCTGATTCAAGAGAAAATTAGCCTATCAATCATTTCGTCGATGAGGACTGCAAAACGTTCTGGTGCAAAATTAATGTGGAAGAATGCCATGCGTCCTATTATTTACTCCCGATGCTGTATTAAATTTAACCGGTCTTTTCACAAACGTACTAGATAGTGTAGCGTTATTTCCCAATCAATATTATGTCATCCATTTGATTAGGAGTACTCAGCAGGCAGCCTATAGTTTTCCTTCACGTTTTTTTTTTAACAAATTTACTACTAAAGAAAAAAAACATGATAATTTACATACTCTGGTTAAAACGTTCAAATGTTGAACCTTACTGGAGCACCTGACGTATTGAGTGTATATAGTCAAACGAACGTCAGTGTCTCAAATAAATAGTTTCCTCCTAATACATTTACAGCTGAAATACAACCATTTGTTTACCTAACTGAGAGAAAGATAAATTCATGAAACGTTGGTGTATGCGAGTATCCCCTCCTGTGTCGAATTTGCCAACTGCTAGCAGGTTAAATTGATTTCCTTTCGCACACCCTTTTACATTTTAAAGTTATGTTGCAGTCACTACTCGATTAATAAAACAACCGGAGGAAATCACGGAAGGTTTACTGATGACGTCTAAAAAGGGGATTTAAAACAAAACACTTTTTTATGCAAGCGGATGCGACAACTAGAGCCAATTAGACGTGAAGCCACTAAAATTGTCATACCATTTGTGTTTGTGTACAATTGCGCATTTTAGTTGAGCTGAGATTTGTCATCAATTATCCCCTTAAAAAAAGAAGCTAGTCAAAAGCATGGCAGTAGGCTTGCCAAATACAGGGTTAGTTAGCGAAAGCAGTTTGTTATTCAGGAAAACCAAAGCCAAAACTTCACATGTAACTCTTTCTCGAAGTTAAATGTGTGCGTGTTCCATGCCAAAGCTAATGCAGCTGCGTGTGTGATCGTCTGACTTTTGGGAAATTAAAAGTTTCTTTTCTTTGTTAGCCCTTTTGGTAATGTGCTGCAAACCCCAAACGAAGTGAAGGTGTTTCCTTGGAGAGGAATCTAGCAAAGAGAGTCTTTGGACTAAAGTTCGAGCTTAGGCCTTCTTAATAAGCAGTAAGACAATCGATTAATGAACGTTTTTGGGTAGACAAACACTGGAAGAAATCGTGGCAAATACTGTTTCACATAAACATGCAAGATTAGTAATACAATGGAAATCTTCTGCTCTTATTACCCGGGGACATGCTATCTGATATTTTAAAAGGGGTGGGACTAATGCAATTCAGTACAAAAAAAACCAGAACCATAGATCAATTACTTAAGGGGCCCTTTCTTGTTCTCACAAGCAAACATAGTTCTTGTGATCCCTACTCTTTTCGATATCCACAGAACAAAAATACCTGTTAATTCTAATATTCAATTTAATTTCACTTTGTTGAAACATAAAATAACATAAATACTTTATTATTTTTGAATTGATCTGAAAATGGATTTTTTCATGTTCAGGCACATTAAGAAAAAAGCATGAACTTTACTAGGAAATTATAACTTTACAATGAAATGGGATTGCAAAAATTCGATTTATCATGGTCGAATCTTTGAAAACGAAAATACAACACAAACCACGGAGTCAGTTCTAGATTTTAGTGAATGCTATCACAAGCTGTTTCCTTTTTTTGCCTAAGGTCTTTTAGCTACAGTGCATCTTAGTCTGATGTACTGTCGTGGCGGTTGACTTTCGTGAAGCATGCTGACTTGAATGTGCACATCATCGGCAATCAAGTCGGTGAGACACTCCTTGAAGATTATTACATTACCGCATATTTGCATGGTGACATTAATCAACAACAAGAAATTACTGGCAATGCACGTGTTAATTTGACTTCTTTAGGATCCGCTGCACAGACAAACAAAGAAGCTTGACTTGAGCATATTCTGACATAAAATACCTCCGAGAAATCATTGGTTGTGATCTGAGAAGGATATAAGGGCGACTGCATTTAAAATTATGACTTAGTATCGGGCGGCATAATACATGCAAGCCTAGCATATAACAGAAATTTGCTGTTTTAAGCAATTCACTTTTATAGCTCGATAGTCATTTTGAATGTTTGACTGCCATCTTAACTCCTAACATGACCTCTTTATCATCCATTACCTACAATTTAGGAAAAAAAAAACCAGTCACTATGTCGTCAGAGTTTTTTTAACCTACCATATCAATTCAAGTAGCTACCAGGCTACTTGCCAACTCCCAGAACGCTCAACCTGTGTCTTGATCCCGGTCTGTTTATCTAGCTTCTCGAAACTTTGGTGCAAATTTATAAAGCGTTTTTTTTCCTTCTGATTCGAAATCTACTACTCGCAATTCCTAAGGTAGAAACCTTGCCCACTTCAAATGACTTTTGTATAGTTAGATGTGTTTTGAGTCACAGATCGGCTGGAATAACTGCCACCTACAAGTAATTGGCGTTAAAAATGTGGGCTTCCAACGTAACCTTATAGACAAGGGGGGGACGTGCGTACCTTAAATGAAACTAATCCCACAGCCCAGTAAAGGTACAACATCAAAATGAAAATCCATTCAGATCGTCGATGTTCCTAAATTTTGAAAGAGTTTAGAACCCTTTCCAAAATTCAGATTATTAACAATAACGAGGCAACTGACTTTTAGAGTAAGTTTCAAAATGGGTGTTCAGTTGTTAGATGTGCATGTAGTTTCTCACTGTTGGCTGTCTGAACCGCTACTGGTAACAAATCTTAGTTATTTTGTCCCTTTCATTCGCACCTACGCGCACATGGATAACCGCGCTCAGGAGACCAGAAATTTTTGCAAAACCATTTAACGAGTCTAAGATTTGAACAAAGTTTGCGCAACCAATTCTAGTAAAGGATACTAAAAGCGCAAATCGGTATAGCAATTTTCGGCATAAATTGTTGCAAAATTTAAACCACATAACTAGTCTTTTGTGATTAAAATTACGACTTCAATTTCTAGCGTCATATTTGCCGATAACAAATTCGACTTTGGATTAGTAGTGTGCGGGTTCTGTCTGCCGGTCAGCACATATGTCTGTTAGACTAGCATAGTGACCTTGTACACCCTGAGTGCAAGTCAAGTTTAAAAGTAATGACAGGTGACCCATGAAAACTAGTACTTAAAGCACCTCCATAACTGTGCATTCTAAGAGCACTTTGTTGCGTTTTAACGGAATTTGCACACATTCCTACCCAAAAAAATAGACTTCATTCTTGTCCTTGAAAAAAGAATAAGTTAATTTTACAAAAGCAGCGCTTACATGGTCACAAACACGTCTGGGTCTACTGAAGACTGTCTCTAATCAATGGCATTAGCATCATGGCTGTCGGAGCGACCAAAGTTTTGCGGGTTTGTGGGCTGTGGGGCAGAGTCATGTTTTCATGTACAGGTGGTGCGAGTGATAGCAGGCATGACAAAACGCTTAAAGGATGTGCGACGGGGTCAAATTGGGTCTTACATGCTTAATTGGTACTCACAGAGAACAAGGCACTTCAATTCATAGGAACTCCAGCAGTAGCAGTATCCCCGTTTATAGGTGGATGGTAGTTCATATCGCCGGCAAACTTGTGGATTACCGTGCCACCACTTCCTTGGGATGTCATGGTCTGGTCATTTGTCGATGAGTGGGCGGGTTTAAAGGTGGGCTGAGAATACTGGGAGAAAATATGTGGAAGAGGAATATAGCTTGCTGTTGGTGGAGCTTCGGCACCCTGAGGTAGGGCAATCACCTGGATGGGTGTCCTCCGTCGAATTTTCTCCGAAGCAGCATCGCTTCGGCGGTCCAGGGAGCCCGTCCGGTAGCCCTCAGAGGCAGGACTTGCCGACCGATCGAATGCTGTTACAAGTGGAAAGAAGTTCTGTGTCGCAGAACCTTGGAATCGGTTTTGTGCGACAGGTTTCATGACACCTGATCCATCGGTCGAATAAAGCGGTTGGTAGGAGAGGTGCGTATAGGGGGTCCCGCTAGCTCCACTGGCTGGCAGCAACTCACACCCACTTAAGTTACTAGAAATGGCTGTGTTGTGAAGGCTCGCCGTATCACTGGGCACGTGGGCCGCGTTAACGGGATATGCAACGGAATCGGTGAAGATTACAGGGGTGGTGAGTTTATAACCCCCATTCAATGAATTGTATGGTGGTGCGTTGTGGTACGAGCCGTCCATTCTCGGCGACTTCTTGGGTAGTTTGGATGAAGCACGTAACCGGAAACAGAGAATAAGAGCTGCAATGCCAAAAAGAATACACAAAAAAGCTGCTAAGGCGAATACGACTCGATAGATAATAAGTTGGATGTAAAGACGCCTGTTTTCCTGTTTTGCTTCGGCTAGCAACATAACATACTCCACAGACGAATTCGTTGATGACAACACTGGTGTTGTTGCCTGCACAGAGGGTTCACAAGTCTTTCGGTAGCAGAGCACGTTCTGTGGGTGGATGTGTGTCTTCTCCGAGGGGGGAGGAATAATTTCAATTTTGGGCAGCCTTCCAGGCCGCAACATGGCCAACATCGTGTACTGCCCCAATCGGTCGGCGAGGTAAAAAATCCTATCCTTTGACGTCAGCGGTGGGGAGGTCTGAACACCATTAGTTACCTTTACGGTTTGAAGAAGAGCATCAAGAGTTTCAAGGTCAATCAGTTGTGCGGCGTAGTCCTTATTTACACGATTCAGTTCCTCAACAACGTTAACTTTGAATTCGGATTGTGGACTTCGTGTTTCCCGAGCAGCCTCCATGAACCGTAATTCCAGCCTGCTGCAAGCAGAATAGTGAGCATAGATATCCTGATGTGAGCCCTGTGGAATTGCTAGCCAGGCGTAGAAATAGGAGCAACGGCCCAGTTGTCGCTTCTCAATTTCGCCGACAACATTATAAGGGTCCCCAGGAAGGATAGGTGTGAGTTTTTCGGCTGATCCTATGATTGCAAGGGTCAAAACAATGCATAAATAGAGCATGATGCCGAGACTAAAATGTCTTCAAAACGACAGCATGGGGCTACGCACCACTAAAATCGAGCAACGAGACGGCACCACCTGACGACAGCACACTTGTGAAGACCCCTGCGCACTCGTTGGCTCCCATCCGGATTAGTTTACCCGAGTGGCCAATCAGAATGCAAAGGTGAACTCACTTTCGCCTGATTGGTCCGTGTTGCCAGCACGTGGAGAGACGTGTTCTGATGATTAGACTGCGACGTCTTGTTAAACTTGCACGCGGCACGTGTGTGCATTGAAGAGCTGCTGTAAACAGGGTTCTGTGTAATTTCAATCAAAAGAACTTCAGTTAAAATTAACAGAAATGTCTGTTCCGGGAAACACTGAAGTAGAATTTCATCCGCTGTTTCTTGAGTAATCGCTTTCTAAATTGTCTGAAAACGTCTAAGCAGTCTCCTGCATTTGTTACCGTGATCACGCTGATGAAAGCTTTCACTTATCAAAAGTGAGCAAATCGAACCACAACACGAGCGTTATGCGCTTTTCAAAGCTCAATTTATCTATTGGACAAATTGTACCTGTTGCTTTATTGCTACAGCGGTGCAAATTAAGACCGTATTCCTGTTACCTCCTTCTTTAATAAAATACCTCAAAAGCACAAAATTGCGTGCTCACACATCGTCAATGGAAAGAAGCTTAAAACTAATGTTACATTTCACTTGCTTAATGAATCGCTGTCCTTGAATTTGACTTAATTTGGCCAAATTTGACCCATTTAATGTGCCCACTGACTTAACAAGGCCCAACATTGCCCTTGCCAACTTTACTGTGGCTCTGTTTGTCCCGATGTCAAGTTATCGTCTGCCCTGCCCCTCGTGTGGCAACACATGGCAGCCAGTAACAAGACATTAAATTGGTGATGCGGCCCAAACTCTGACCATGACTAATTCTCACCACAGCCAAGCCCTCAGATTTTTCCATGCATTTATTTGGAGTAAATAGATATGAGGTATTTGTAAACCCAGAAGATAAAAACACGAATTTCTCCATACGCATCGCAATTATTTTTTTCTTACTGCTGATATTCCATCCACAGTTGCTTTGTTTACTAACAGCTGAAAATCCCATCTACAAGAAGCCGCATATTGTATGGTTGCATCTATTTGCTCTCTGTGTGTGTCGAGTTAATAAATTTTAAGATTTCACTAAAATCCCCTGTTTGAAGGTGTTCGATTAAATGATTTAGTATATTACTGAATTCTGACTATTCAGAAGAGGTCTCAAAAGGATAAGTGTGTTTTGATTTGTAAAAGTAGAGTCCCTTAGAGAAGAGATTTTCGACAATTTCGAGCCTATGGCACTAAAATCCATAGGAAGGTCTACCGCGCTTCACCTTGCACAATGCAACCTAGTTCATCACCTACTTCCATAAACAGGTCGACCCCCTTAATTCAAATCACACATTTTACGACCACATAAAAAAACATGATTTGTGTTGCCAATTACCAGCACTTGAAGCAATGATGTGGTGATTTCGTTCGTCTTTATTTCTCTGCCAGACGGTGCTGCTGGAGTACATTGAGGATTTTGTGACTGATCACAGTGACGAAAGAAAACCCGGTTTGTTCTTCCACTCCTTTCCATCGAAATATAAATAATTCACAGGTGACTTATTCAAGCTGCCGAAATTCCAGTTCTTGAAACATTTTAACGTGCAACTACTTTTGATAATAGGATTAGGTGAATGGGTTTTTTAGGTCATAAGACGTCATACAATTACATGAGCTGCAACGTGAACTGTACACTTTCCACCCAACAGTCCCACCTCAGTTCAATCTAAAATGTATTAGAGTTTGTAGAAACAGCATTTTTAAAGTCTACGAAGTTGTTTTTTTCTGAGGACAAAATGCAGGAGCTATGTGGACTTGAGCCACTGGATTTGCGAGGACTTATAAATTATCGTTTGGCCTAATATCACTTTAATTCGAGGATTTATTTCTGATAACTTGGAAGCAACAAATTCACATGTGTTTAGATTTCGCATTTCATAAACGCAAGCACATTTATCACATTACTTTATTTTCAGTTATAATCGTGGCTTCAGAGGATAATATTTAATCAAGCCATTCAAACACTGAAAGCACTGGCCATGTTTGGATAAATATCAAGAAATAATATACTCAAGCTTAGTATTTAGTCCTGGTAAAGCCATAGTTAAAAAGAAATATTTTGCTCGTATGGCTTCATCATTAATACCTTTAAAACACTAAACAAAGGCTAGATCATAAACAAGAAAGTGGGGGTGCTGGAAGTGGCTGGGTACCGAACCTCAGTTTCAGATTTCATACGGACGAATTTGCTTACTAGGCTTTACTCTGGGTTCGTTATTGACTTCATGCATTTCCTGATTATTTGGCAACGCACGAGATTCCCCTGGCTCCACAGATAACTACAGCCGAATCTCACATTGACGAGCACATCATGAACTGTCCACTGATGTCTTTGATACTTTGTCGCTGCTTGGAAGTCGTCTATCACCACTGAATGGTCAGGGTGAACTGAAGGCGTCAGCGCAAACTGTTGCGTAGTGCCAAGGTTGGGTTCCTGCTTTATTAACCTATGCAGTAGGTATCGGTTTCACACGTCAGAAGCTTGACCAGGCGAGGAGATGTGAAGGGGTAGAATGCATTACCCAATTATGCAACGGTCCAAAAAAACTTGCAATTCTTTCAGGATGCGAAATGATGGTTCCGGCCTATCACGATAATTTCGCTGCGCACAATTAACACGATCACCTTCTAGCTGACACACGCAGGTCAGATCTCAGCAAAACTATCCAGCATTAAACTCCTCCTCAGAATGATAGCTGTGATTTATGCGCTTTTGTATTTAGAACGATGCGCTAAATCGTAAATGTGTCTAGCCTCAAACTAGAGGGTTTCTACTGCCAAGAAAAGGCTTTATTTCCAAATATTTGACCTACACGCCAAGTTCAATTGATCACATTAATTCTCCTGAATAAAGAATAAATACTTTTTAAGATTGGTTTGTGCAGCATATCCTAAAAGAACATTTTGAGTTATTATGCAAACATATTATTTTCATGTTTCCGAATTATTCTTTAAATAAAATTCTTATTTTTTACATATTCCTCGTTTATTGTTTCGACATGTTTGTGCCTCTGCGACCACAGCAACGTGCACATGATATTTTCGGTTCAAATAATCGTCCAAATGACGTGTTTCCTTAGCTTCAACGGTGCACAGGACCCGAATTCGAATTCAAGGACCGCTTCCGTCGTAATACGCGTAACTAAAACTCCTAATTCCTCTTTACATTATCACTGCGTCATTCTTCCCCATTTTGCGGAGTTTTCTAGAATAAAAAAATGCTAGCCAAATATGTAACCCTAAATTTAATGAGGAACCAGACTACTGAAGGCCGTGTATATCGAAAATGCGGATTATTAACTAACCGTCAGTGTTGTTCAGATGAATTTGCAATCTCACTTGCGCAGTGGTTTTTGCAGCATATAGTGAAACTGATTTTGCAGTATTTTGATTTAAAAATCAAAGTGTAAATGACACAGAGAGGGCTCTCTCCTGTCAATCATCCCAGGTTTCGGTTAAAATTCTCTTGCCCAATCTAACCTAGATAAGCAATATTGCAACGATTGGAGACTGAACTGTTTGATAACTGGAATCTCGTGTGACCTTGCAAAGTAATGATTCTCATCTGTCTCAAATGGATTGAATAAACTTCGTTGCGGTTTATTTATGGAGTACACAAGGAACTTTAAATTATGTGGATCACACCCCTAGAAGAGCCTTAGCATATGAAACTACCTCACACCTGTTTGTAACATCTGCGCCACTAACAGCACAAGGTCTTGGTTAAAATAATATCATGTTCACAAAATTTTTAATAAAAATAACATTGAAATTCATAATGAAGTGTTGGCTACTTTCAGCTATGACTTCGACCTCGCGATAAACTACGAATATAGTCAGCATGGGGCTACGCACAGATAAGATGAGGTTTTTGTTTATCCGTTGTCAAAATCGGAGACGTTACTAAAGTTTATTTCAGTGCGTGCCTGTCAACTTACAAAAACTATAGCTGCTATTGCACTCCAGTCATCGCCAAATTAATTAGCCAAGACAACCAGCGACCTCAGATATAATGAGCCTTTCGGTAATATGCCCTGCCCCTATAGTTTCTACTTTAAGTCGACTGGGCAGCAGTCTAGTAACTAGATAATAGACAAGAGTGGGCGGTTAATTGGTTAACAGTATCATGTCGTCTTGAAAAAAAAGCTTTGCTGCCTGTATCAATGACCAAAACCCAGTCTTACTTCTGACTGCATGGTTGGTGCGATGAACACGAGGAAAACAACCGACGAAGAAAGCATTAATCAGCAGCCAGGCAGGGCAGTACTTTTTGGCAGTAGAAGATAAACATGGTGGTCATGAATGAAATTTGACTCGGTGTATATGAAATCGTGCACGGCGCAGGTTTGTGGTAGGAAGCTTGCCTCTGTTCTGCATTTGGCAGTTTCGAGTACCAACCACGGATTGCTAGATAGACTACAGAAATGCACAAATTGGCGTTCGCTTATTTTGCTGGGGGAGGCTAGGGGACCGAATAGTCACAAGACAGCAGTTCCTGGTCACAGACTGACTCAAACCTCTGCGCCAATTCAAATACCCTTGTGATCCAACTCGCATTGATCGCAGACTGGTTCAGTTTGAGCAGTTTGGGGCCCAACTAGATTGTAGGCTTCTTTTACGCTACGGTCAGAAATAGGACGGGCAGCTTGGCATTGTTTCACTTTGTGGATGTCGTAGAGACACTTTTGAGTGGGTTTAATTTCAGTAACAGTGACAGCAAGCTTGTGGGTCCCTTGGTACAAGTAAGTTTTCCTAAATAATCCTGTCAGAGTTAATAGATGAAGTGATGGTGAAACTTGCAGTTGCTTGGGAATGCAGATTCAGTGTGCGTTTTGCCTATGAACCGACAGGCAAAATTTTCAACTGGCTTTTGCACAGCCCCCTTCCAAAGTTACGGAAACTGGATGCCCCTTTTTTGCATTTTCATGCCCCTTCCCTTTTGCCTATCTTTCCCACGTGCCCATAGTTTATGTCAGGGGGCGGTGAGGGGGCATGCGTGTGCGCACACAGCAGTCGCGGTGAAAGGTCAGTGCCATGTGAAATACATTCACTCCTCTAAGCGTAGGTTACTTGGTTTTATCGAACTAAAGGATTCCACAAAATCCTCATCTTTCAATCACATTACCACCGACATATCCACGAACGTAGTTGCAACGGTATCGCGAAAGGGCAAAGGGGGGAAAGTGATTTTGCTTTCTTACACGGGGAAGAAAATCCAGCTTAAAGTAACAAATATTCAAACACAATGGGCGAGTACTTCTCTTCTTAGTTCTGTTAGAGATCGCATTTGAGGCATCGATTTGGACTGACCCAAGGTTAGTAGCCCTGTCTATGTGAGCGACCCTTGGTTTTAAGATATTCTACAGTTTCCTTTACTGAACTTATTTCCAATGCTTTACCGTTGAAGAAACAGCCCCGCCTCGATACAAAAATATAATGTGAGCGGAATGCTTCTGGGAATTTCGAAAATCGATAATTCCAGAAACTTGGCCAAGAGTCACATTAACATATACAGGGCCCTTTCAGCTAAACATCAGTCCGGCGTCATGATAGTGGACATTCATCAAGCTTTAATTTGAAGCCCGGATGGGGCCGTTCCCCATTTGGGTGGTCAAGACATTGTGTGTCCGAGCCCTGTGCAATGAAACCATCATTAGTGAACGCAAGATGGATAAAGCCGACTGGAGCAAGTGTGTTTACATCGTCGTGTCCGTGCTAGTCGTGCACGGTGGACAGAATTAAACATCCTCGAATCTGGCGCCGCCTGTAATCACAGCCGACCAACGTTAACAACCCACTTAATGGGCGTAAACGGTCGAGCACAACGGAGGCTGTAGAAAAAAACACGCAGGCTAGTGTGGTGTTTGGATCTGTTTGGTAATCTGGCATACGAAATTTGTGACACTCGGAAACATTGGACGCATTCAAGATTGGGGATTTCCTCATCGGCAATGAAAGCAACCAATTAAAGCAACGGCACACCAAACTTCCCTTTAGAGAGTCCAGCAACAGTGATTTGTGTGATACAGTAAGCCGAGAAATCGACAGGCTCCTGAAAATTGGTGGAAGGACGGTGGCTGACACCTCGGACTTTGCCTCACCTTATAGATTGCATAGACGTACACTTTGGCTTCGTGTTAGCTTTGCCTACAAGGCGCACAATCGCAATAATATCGTTATTTGAAGAATATTACTGCAAACATAGTCTATTTCCAGGATTTTTATTTCGCCTCGCCAATTAATTTCACTTATTGAACTGTTAATCAATAAGAGAAGTAAAATATCGAGCATGAAATCAATTTTGATTTAAGGAAGGATTCAAAGTTAGTTCAAATTACGAAATATGGTTCGACAGGTAACCAGAAGAAATCACAAAAATTCGATTTTCTAAGAATTCACTAGTTACTTGTACAATTTTATTAATTTGCCACGTTAGACAACTTTCCACACTCTCTTGTGTGAAAGCATGACGATTTAATAACCAAACATTGGATAAAATTAGCAAACAGTTTAGAAGCACTAACGAAATCAACACTGCTAAGAGAAGTCGGTAATCAGTTGGTGTGAGGTCCTGAAAATCTACTCTGTGGGACCCGGAAGCCCGGCCAAGTGCCCAGACCTCTTGCGTGTTCAACGTTTGCTGCAAGCGACTTCAAGGCGTCTCAACAAGTGTGACCTTATTCCATCGCCAAGCGCGAGATACATTCTTTTTTGATGGTTCTTGTACCTACACCACCATTTGTGAACGCCGCCCTCACAACTGACCCATTTTTCTACCATTACACCAACCCTATCCCGGATGACCTCAACCCTATGCACTAAATATCAGCAATATTTCGGCTTAATTCCGATCCCCAATTTGCGACTACGCAAATTCACAGCACGTTGAATTCCTTGAGGAGATTTAGTGTGTGTAAATAAGATGGCTACTGCCTCCACTGGCGAATGCCGAAAGTCTGTTTCCACAGGACCGGCCATGTAGGGGCTCTCCAAGGCAGAGCTAATCTAAAACTGCTAGACCAACGCACATACATTGAGAGCGTACACTAGCAATGTAGCGCCACAATCAAATTCACGAACTTTCAGCATGGGTGGGCATTAGTGATCTTTCGACTCCATTTCACAGGCTTCAAAGCGCATTTGAATTGACAGCTTGAACTGTAGCATGCAAGCTGAGGCAACTCCCTAATGGCCATAGAAAAATTGCACTTTATGTGAGACATCGCCCAGCAATTGACGGTGGGGAAAAACTGCATATGACTCGATCCAGGATAACCTTCGTAGCATTGCGAATTCAAACGCTACCCTGTGATGAGGGCCAACGATGATCCAAGTGAACGTTGGCCAGTTAAATACCTCAGCTGTGTACAACGTTACATTTCCAGCACAGCAACTTACACACATTCAGATGCTAAATCAAGACACCGCGATTTGTGAGGTAAAAATCTTTGAATGTATTACAAAGGATGGGAATAGCAGAAAAGCAGTGGAAGTCAGCGTCAGGCCCACAATTCAGCGGTGGTTTTGTGCAGGTCAAAGATTTGTGTTTTTCCCTTTTCCGAAGTGACCTCAAGCACAATTCTTGGTGGGACTGGCTGTTCATCGGGCGAACAGGCTTTCTGCTCGCCTGAACTTGAAGCGGACTTTCGCTCATCCAGGGCAGACGGGTGACTAACCTTGAGGCAAAATAAATAGGTATACAATTAGGCTACTTATTCATTTAAAGTAGCAGCATATAGAGCAGCTTGCCTTAAGATGCACTTTGCAATTGGGTCCCAATTTGCCACGTTCATCCGCCAAAGCAAGTTGACTTATAATACGTCGTTCAATCTATTCGCGGAACACAAACTGATTCGTTACATTTAAATCTACTAAGTTTAAAATATGGCTTGACAACAGAAGTACTTGAAAGCATCGTTATTAAGAAGCATCGTCGGTTATAGTACCATGTGCAACTATGACGCATAAAGAAGAAGAAGAAGAGGAAAAAAGGCAAAATTACCTCGTAGGTGATGGATCTTGCTCCATAGTAGACATCGTAGCCATCAACTATGAGGTCGATAACCTCCCTGTCCCAAGAGAGCGAGATGGAATGCCTCGATTTCGCCTAAACACAAAACTTAGAGATGAATTAAAATGAACGCGCTACAAACGAGTCTCCCTGCCTTTGCTTAAACCACGGATTGCATCGCATTCAGCCTCAACTCTATTATACGCCAGGAAATAGCCAAGTGGAAATGTAGGTGAGCCTACCTCTGGAGCTTAATTACCCGGAAACCCTGCGACGGAACAATTTCTCCGGACGCACGTAAGGAGCTAGCGTCCCGTAGATGGAAAATGACATATCACTTGCACAACAGGGTCAGATTAGAAGTCAAAGGAATCACCTTAGGGAAGGCACCTATCACTTTTGATGACGACTTCCTACTACCGAACTGACGTGCCTCCACAACATTAAAACACGTGAAAAACCGCGCATGACATCAACTGAGCCCCGATGCAAATGGCGGCAAGTGCTGTTATCCAGTTGAAGGAGCATAAATTTAGTTGTGAATGGCATGAACGCAATGCCTCGATACCTTTTCTTTCCAAACATTCAGGTTTCGCAGCACCAGTTCAGTTAATTCTGACGTTGAGAAGGGCAAAAAGTACACCATTTCGTTGATTCGACCAAGAAATTCGTCTCGAAGGAAATGTTTCTACAACGGGGAAAATTGTGATTCCTTTATGAACACGAGTAAGCAATCTCACCGACACACACACACTTACGCGCAACATTGGCCGCATAACCTTTTCCTTGAAATCCCGAGACACTTCAATTTCATTATCTAGAAGACAGGCAAAAAATATTTTAAACAATTCATCAGGCGAGAAGAGGAGAGACAAAGAGACAGCAACCTCCATCTCCAGGCGTCGATCGGAGGGACTGGGCGTACTCTGCGATGACTTGACTTCCCACATTTGAAGTCATGATGAAAATGGCGTTTTTGCAGTCCACCGTATTCCCCTGGCCATCGGTCAGTCGGCCCTTTCAACAGAACACAGGCAGGAAGACAATAATCACAAGTGATAATCACGTCTACCAGTACATAGCCGGGTACGTTAGCATGCAAATTATTCCATTTACCTATTTCTTTTATTGTAGTGAGAGTGCAAACAGAAAAATTAATGACGCCCTAGTCGCGTGCAGTAGTGGTGCTACAGCTTTCCGGAAAGCCACCAACCACGCGATTGACAAATCGGGCACAGTGCCTTCAATCACAACGCCAAGGAGCGATGCGTTGGCTGCCAGGCGGCTGAGCGGGTTCTGCGAAGTGCCCCTTCAACGGTCCGAGTAAAGGCGTATCAAGTAACCCTGTTAGAGACCTTTGGTAATAGCAACTAATAACGACCCGTTTCCACCTAAAAACGTGTTGGTGAGACCTCAAAACTAGTAACAATGAAAGGGGCCGGATGCCTAATGTTCCTGAAGGGATTCAAAGCCTAATAAACGCGGCAACTTCATGGACACACAAGAATAACGCACTTGAAGAGTATCGGAAACTTCCCTCAAGGACTTTTTGCCTTTCAATCATAAAGTTGGCCGCTTTATTTCGATAGACGGCGCATCGCAGCTTCCGGTTTACTGGTTCCCAGTGACAGGGGAACCGGTAAGGGTTTTAGTTAGCGCAAAAAAAGGTTTGTAATGGTAATTGACATTGTTTGAAAGAACAGCGACAGCATTTTCCTTGACATTGGACAAGAACGCAGATTATAAATTAACTTTACCTAGGGACGCCAGCAAATTCCCGCTAGCGCAATGCGTTAACTTTAAAATATGTCTGTACACAACCGAAAATTGTGGTTGCTTAGTTAATTTGATAACGTGATTCAACATTCATCATGTTGATGACACTCGGTGTTTTTTCTCAAAACCGTTCAAAGCACATTCTTCATGTGGCTTTTGAAATGGACACTCTGTGCCGAAAAATAGTCTGAGACCGTAGATCAAAGGCCTTGGTGTTAGTTGTAAAGTTAATTTGAAAAAAAAAATTGTATTACGAGTAGGTAAGTTGGTGTTTGGTAAGTACCAAGGCGCGATCTTAATTATCAACGCCATCGCTTTCGAAAGCACAGTAAGAAAATTCGTTTGACATAATTGGTATATAAAAGGCCGTAGAAAAGAGTTGATGACGACCCGAAAGTCTATGCAAGACTTGCCCAAAAATTCTAAAGTGACGATTTTTGTTCGGTGAGTTGGTTGGTAGTCGTAATATTTATACGCAGATTAACAACGATGCAAAGGAATGCTAAATTACCACAAAATACAAACAAACGGAACAAAAGCTCACCAACATGAACGACATCGTACTCATGTTGGAAATAAGAGTATGCGTTTTAACAATTGCACGATCGTCCAACACAATTTTGTTTCTTTAATTTGTAATTTCAAATACAAGTTAGGATTCGGCTGCACTGAACCTCCCTCTTACTGGTGCACCAAGCAGTTGAGTTTTCATCGCTTTGGGTCGTTTTTCTCTTGTCTGCCAGGTCGTGCCGTAACCTCGCGGATCGTTGACCCCGACAAGGACCCACGTCCCACATCTGGGCCTCAAATCAACTCTAATTTCATGTTTCTCAATTGTTAAAGTGTGCATTAGTGAGGTGTGCCGGTGAGTTTTCCATCTTCGGTGTAGCAAAGCGGTAAATTCTGCCAGCGCGACTATGGAGATAACCACTCCCGATCCTAGAGATAAAATGCTTCGACAGCCATAACCAGCTTAATCCATACGAGAATTAAAGCCACCTAGGACATTTGGGCAGGATTTGCCTGAACATGATCCAGTTTACGAAATACTGAATACTGAAACATTTACAGAAGGACGGTGATTAATGCAAAACTGATTTTTCGCCGACAAAAGGAACTTATTGAAGTGGCTGTGATATTAAGCTCCAAGTAAGAAATACAATGTGACATACTTCATCAAAGACCTGGAGTAGGGCCGTCAGAACATCTGGATGGGCTTTTTCCGTTTCGTCGAAAAGCACAACAGCGTTCGAACATTCCTTAAGCGCCTTTGTCAACTGACCACCAGATTCGTGGCCAACATAACCAGGCGGGGCGCCAATAAACTTCGCAACCTGTAAAGTTATAAAGCAATGAACGCATGTCCATTCGACTGAAACCGGGAAATAAAGCTTACGAACCTCGTGTTTTTCTTGGAACTCAGACATATCAAACCGAATGAACGTCCTTGAGTTTGAATCACCTTTGTGCAAGTAGGCAGCAATTTGTTTAGCGAGTTCGGTCTTTCCGATTCCAGATGAACCCAAGAATAAGAAAACGAGAGGGTGGTCTTCGTCATGCCAACCGTTTTCCTTCCTCCTAATTGCTATGAAAACTGTTCAAGACACGAGGTATCAGCGTACCTGCACTAACAGTGCGAATCGCCTGTTCCTGTCCGACAATTTTCTCACGGAGTCGTTGATCCAACGGATACCTTTGTCGTTCTTCACGATCCTTGGCTTGCTTTTTTAGATTGAACTACACATATCGAAACAAATGCCTTAGTTTTTTTAATTATTTAATTGTCAATGGCGATGAGAAAACCTACCTGTTTCATTGCGGCATCAATTGCGATATTTATGTCATTGGATTTCGAATACATTTGAGGTGTATGTCCTCGTGAATTTTTCACAGTAGGGTCGGCACCTGTACAAAATACAAGTTAGTAGCAAAATTAAAGGTAGGTTCGGTTGGTACAAAGACGAAGTGAAATGGATACCGTGGAAAGGTACGTAGTGAGAGTAATTAAAGAAAAAAATTCGAACCTGCTGCCAGTAAAAGCCTTACTAACTCGACATCGTCAGCCAGCACCGCATAATGAAGGGCTGTGCAACCACGAAAATCGGCACTTGGGTTAAGATAGTCACTGAATTCAGTCAAGCGTCGCCATTCAACTAGAAAGCTAACCTCAAATGTAAGGAAATATACCATCTGGCGAAGTTGTACGGCCGTGAAATGAGAAACCAGAAGTTCCAGCGTAGTTTTCACGTGCGTCAACCTCAGCCCCGGCCGCCAACAAAGCCTTAACAACGCTATTGTATTTAGTGTGTGCAGAACCAGAAGTCATACTTTAATTTACGTTGTATGACGGCCAGCATAAGAGGTGTCCACCCTAAGGGATGACGTAAGTGCACTACTTGACGTGTTTTCTCGATTTCCCTAGAAACAGTTATGGCAGCAGTTTTGGGCAATTACCTTTCCGCAGAACCTGGTTTGCCGAACTTGATCAGTTCGAATATATCATCACCTAAATTGTAACAAGTGAGATGCTCATTACCATCTGTCCGACCCAAAGCTGCAGATACAGCAATAACTGTTGTAAGATAATGGAACTTCGGAGTTCGGTGGAATAGGGATTCAAAATGCAGAATGACACAGTTCCGAGGGAAATTGATACTATTTACGACAACTAAACTACGCTTTGGTAAACACGCACGACACCAAAAGCCTAAGACGACCGACAGAGACCGCTTTAAGGTACTGGCCCCAAAATACATGGGAAGAAGATGTCAAGAGTAAAATCGGACCATGAGTTTTCAAGATCGCCGCGGCCAGGCCGAAGGTCACAAAAAGAGGAGTCACCGTAAATGATAAATAAACTAAGCTATTTAAGGCTTATACCTTAGAATAAACACCAGAAATTACCTATTTCTTTTTATATATAATTATTCTTAAGGTAACGATTTGTTTAAATGAAGTGACTGCTCTTGTGACCGAGAAAACATTGACATTGGGTGATTTGCTTCTCCTAAACCTGCAGCTAAAAGTCTTGCAGAATAATGACTAAGTCAAATGCACACCATCATTAGTCAAAAACTGGCCTGTTTTATACCGTAATGATAATTAGCAGTATTCGATATTTTTTACATACCCTTTCTACGGAGCTGATTGGTGGAAACCAAATAACACCTTTTTGTTCGTCTATTCATCCGTAGTGTAGAATACCCGAGCCCTAATAGGTAAAAGACTGGTACAACAGAACAGGCTTTATTGACCAATCAGAAGCCAGAGCCACGCGTCAGGCGCCTTCCATCCTAGTCCACCACGCTGGCCACGCCGTTCATTATATACTGCATCTCATCCATGTCCTTCTCTGGTTGGCTGCCTTCCTTTCCCGCATGCCATTGGATTGCAGAGAGACACGGGATTGGCTGCTGCCAGGTGGTACAACATGTCTGCGCCCTGATCCGACGCCACAGTAGGTCTTCAGTTTCGGACTTCCCAGGCTGTGCCCAATGGATTCTATACTTACGGGAATTTTACAGTCACAATTTGATGAAGATGTAAAGCTTACTGTAGTAACTAAAATTGCCGCCGCAATTCGCAATGAATCATCAAAATGCAGTAAAATTAATGCCCTTCTTCACGTTTGCCTTCTGAATTTGTGCAATGAAAACATCTCTCCACGGCTGTTTACGGCACTTAGTGCACTTTCTGGTACCTTATTCGAAATGAAAAGTGTGGATTTGCCATCCTTCTTTTTGAATGATTTTGTTCCACACGGTGATGTACAAAAGCTATGTTTTCGCCTTCCTGAATCATCTGTGACCCCTATTACAGCAATCTACTGGCCTGATGTATGCGCTGCTTGGGAAGCACTCGAAAGAGCAATGAAATCCAGTGCAAACGAGTTGAATTTCCCTCTGCATCTCTCCAAAATTGTGTCCGTTCAGTTGCCTCTTAATGCAAGTCAAGTAAATTTATTAGAAACTGCTCTTAAACGGTTTGTATCAAACCCTCCCCTGGCGTCTGACTTCACTAAAGAGGACGTTACAAATACTGTCAACTTCCTAGCAAATTTCGGGTTTATTTTTCGCACTTCTTCCTCGGATCCAGCAGCATTTGTCTCACTATCAAACGTTCTTTCTTGTGCCGTATTCTTACTGGCTTCTCATGTTGATTGTGCTTCTGATAGTTCTCCCGAAAGCTTCGCCTCGAACCTCGTCTTTGTTTCTGCAAAGCCATTTATTCTTGACCCCTCCCCAGTTCTGCACCCACCTCTAGCCGCATTGGTGGTTCGACTTGAAGAAATATGCTCTTGCGGTTCCAGTACTCATGAACGAATACTTTTATCCTGTATACGCGACCTTGCTCGGGAATTCGCTGATGTAGCTACCCTTAAGCAATCAATCCTTCGTTTCGTAGCCTGGTCACAATGGTCAGTCGGTCAGGGTTCAACTGACTTATGGGTCATTGGAATATTGTCGGAGTTCGGTCGTATTTCAAAAGGAATTGAATGTTCAAACGAGTCTCTATTCAATGAATTGTTAGTGCCTATGCTTGAGAAGGTTCTGGAAGTACTTTCTATTGTGAAGTACACGTCTGGTCCGTTAATGAACTTACTCGCCTTTGTTCTTATTGTTTCTGTGCTGATGGGCTTCAGTGAAGAAGTTGGTAGACGATGTGGTGAACTGGTTTCCTTCCTTCGTTGTTTATTATCAAGCAATAGCACCGAACAGGAACATACGGCGTTAGCTTTTGCCCAAATTGGCACTCTCTTAAGGATTGCTCTTCGTTCATTTCAAGAGTCAAACACCATGAAGCCAGATAAGCTTTTTAAAGTGTTTGATTTGATTTCTCGACGGTTCCCATGTCCCTCTGATCGGTTTTGTGTAAAACTCCTCGAGAAGTACAGTTGGAAAAGTCTTACGAATGCAGGTGGTGCTGCTGGATTTAGAATCCGCGATGTTTGGACTTCTTGGAAGGACAGCTCAAAGCAGACATCTCATCTGCAGCTCACAATGGGTGTAAGTCCTTGTGTGTCACTTTCCTTTACTGATTTAAAACGCTCTTTACTTATTTTTGGGTATCTTTTCAAG